GTCTTAGTTATGGGAGCACTCTTGACAAATTTCACCTATGTGGGTGTCGAAGTGAGGCTGCTTCTATGAAAATTTGATGGGCAATTTTCTAGATCGCACATGAAAACTGGGATCATGCGCAAAGCCATAATGCGCCAGCTATGTGAAAAACTCAACATTCTGATCATTACGTGTGTGATGCAATTCTTGTACCTTCCAATGGGGTCATAGTTCAAGACTTAGTTCACGACTTAGTTCACTTTGGATTAAGAATTGTTGACTCACTAAGTAAAAGTTCAAGGTTTAGCTACTTTTATCATGCATGATAATCCATCTTTACCCAAAAGAAAGATTTATTTTTATTAAAATAGTGAGGGAATTGTTGGAACTTAAATATTTTAATAAAAAATAAAATAATAAATTGTATAAATTAAATTTATTGTCCCATTAAGAATTTGGTCAAACTAACCGTCGTAGATTAATTGTCCTATTTAAGGGCACATTATTTCATAATAATTGCACAATTTATTCCTATCATTAACCTGCAAATGTGAGTTACAAGACCATGAGTCCTATAAATAGTATATGTTTATTTGCTCAAAGCAGAGGGTTCCTCCACATTCTCCTATTTTCCTTACTTTACTTTATCTTTTAAATATTATTAGGTAAAGAAAAGTGTTTTGAGTTAGGTGACTCTATGAATAGTGCAGAGTCCTAGAGTGTTATTATAAAACTGTAGTATCTTAGAGGCGACATGCTAAATATATCTTTATTGCACCAGTTGATCTACTCACTGCAGAGTCATGAATTGCCTTAAAATAAGTAAGTTTTTTACGCCTATTTTAGTAATATTTTCTTATTGATATGTTCTGATAAGTTCACTAATTATTATTTTATTTGATCTTGTGATTGATGCACAACAATAACATGATATGAAGATGGAAGAGAGTGTTCGAGGAACAACAATACATACATACATATATATATATATATCAAGAGGCACATTCTTGTCCATGTTACATCAACTTCCATTGCATGATTGGGTTGCATGGATTAATTTTTTTTTTTTTTTAGTCTTAGCAAGGTAGCTGACAATTTCGGTTTAAAATAATTACCGTGAGAG